TTCCTTCCTCCCTCCCTCCCTCCCTCCCTCCCTCCCTCCCTCCCTCCCTCCCTTCCTTCCTCCCTCCCTCCCTCTCCCCCTCCCTCCCTCAGGCTGCAGTGCAGTGGCATCATCTCAGCTCACTGTAGCCTTGACTTTCCAGGCTCAAGGGATTCTCCCATCTCAGCCTCCTCAATAGCTGGGATTATAGGTGCACACCATCACATCTGGCTAATTTTTTTTTTTTTTTTTTTGTTTTTGTAGAGACAGGATTTGCCATGTTGCCCAGTCTTTTGTGCACTCCTGGGCTCAAGTGATCTGCCCAAAGTGCCGGCACTATAGGCATGAGCAACAGTGCCTGACCTCTTTTCATTTTCTCAACAGTGTTTTAGAGAACTTAAGTTCCTAATTGATTAACTCCATTTTAAGTTTTCTATTAACATCTGAGCTCAAATCTAAGAACTGTTTGCCCAACTCAGGATCATAAAGATTTTCTACTATGTTTTCTGTTAGAAGTTTTTAAGTTTAAGGTTTCAGTATTTAGGATCATGATCCATTTTGAGTTAATGTTTATATATATATATATATATAGTATGGGTTATGAATATAGGTTCATTTTTTTTTTAATTTGGATACTGACTGTTCCAGCAGTATTTGTTGAAAAAAACTCTTCTTTTTTGAATTTCCTTTACACTTTTCTTGAAAATTAATGAACACATGTATGTGTATCTGTTTCTAAACTCTATTTTTCTCTGTGCTTTGGTTATTTCTATTTTTTTTTGTCAAGTATTTCTGTCTTTAAGCCAATACCACATTATCTTTTTGACCGAAGCTTTAAAATAAGTCTTGAAATCAAGTATTATGAATTCTCTAGCCTTGTTTTCAAAATTGTTTCATATTTCCATGTAACTTTTAGAATTGGTTTGTCATTCTGCTCCATAAGAAGCTGGAACTTTGAAATTTCCCTGAGTATATAGGTTATTTATGGAGAATTGCTATCTTTAACATATTTAGTCTGAATGCGGATCCATTAGCACTGTATCATCTTTGTATTTATTTAGATCCCCATTTATTTGGTGTTTAAAAATTTTGTCTCACCAGTGTTTTGTACTTTTCAGCATACAGGTCTTGCACATCTTTTGTCAAATTCATCCCTTTATGATTTCATAATTTCTACCATTAAAATGGTATTCTTTTATATTTCAATTTCTGATTATTACTAATAAATACAAATACAATTAATATTTATATATTGATTTTGTATCCAGTGAGCTTGAGAAACTTTTATTCTGGTAGCTTTTTTGTAGATTTTGCAGGATTTTCTACATATTATCTGAGATCAAACACAGTTTTACATATCTTTTCCCTTCTGCATGATTTTTGTATCATCTTTGGGCATTATTTTGCTGTCCTAGAACTTGTACTTCAGTAAAATATTGAATAGAAATGATAAGAATGGACATCTTTACTTTGTTCCCGATCTTACTGGAAAGCATTTGCCCCTTAACCATTAAGTGTAAAGTTAGCAGTAGGTTTTTATAGACGCTTTTAATCAGATTGTGGAAATTTTAGTTTATGAATTATAGTTTATGAAGTATTTTATTTATTAATTTATTTTGAGATAGAGTCTCACTCTATTGCCCAGGCTGTAGTGCAGTGGCACGGTCTAAGTCCACAGCAACCTCCACCTCCTGGGTTCCAGCAATTCTACTGCCTCAGCCTCCCAAGTAGCTGGGATTACAGGCTCCTGCAATCGTACTGGGCTAATTTTTATATTTTTAGTAGAGTTGGGGTTTCACCATGTTGGCCATCCTGATCTTGAACTTCTGACTTCAGGTGATCTGCCTGCCTTGGCTTCACAGAGTGCCGGGTTTATAGGCATGAGCCACTGCGCCCAGCCTAAGTCTTTTATTTTAAAATCATGAATTAATATTGAATTTTGTCACTTACTCTTCCTGAATTTATTGAGGTTATTAAATGTTTTCCTTTTTTAAATCTGTTCATACGGTGAATTACATTGATTGATTTTTAAAATTGATTTTATCTGCTTGCTTAACTGCATTTTTCTGTGATAAACCCCACTTTGCCATAGAATACTAACCTTTGTTATTTATTGCTGAATTTAATTTGCTGAAATTTTATAAGATTTTTGCTTCTGTGTTCATGAGGAATATTGGCCTGTGGTTTTCCTTTCTTGTGATACCTTTGTTAGGCTTTGATGTAACGGTAAAACCAGTCTCATAGAACAAATTAGAAAGTATTCTCTCCTCTTCAAAAGAGTTTATGTAGAATGGTAATTTTTTATTCCAGAAGTGTTTGTTTGAATTCACAGGTGAAACCATCTAGGCCTAAAGTTTTCTCATAAACTAAATAAAAATTTTGAGATGAATAAAAATTTACATCTGTGAAAATTTTTAATTACAAATTCTAGTTCTCTGGAGCCAGTCAGATTTCTTATTTGTCAAAAGGAGCTTTGGTAGTTTATGTCTCTCAAAGAATTCATCCAATTTTGTCAAATTTAGTGACAAAATTGTCCATAGCATTTCTCCATTATGATTTTAATGTTTGTAGTGATGTCACCTCTCTCATTCCTGATATCAGTGATTTAGGTCCTTCCCCTCCACCTACCATAACTAATCTAATTTTATTGACCTTCTCAAAAAACCAACTTTCATTGCTTTTTCCTTATTTGTTTTATATTGTACTGATTTAACTTCTTTGGTACTGTTATTTCCGCAGCTTGCTGTGGGTTTTATTTGCTCTTTTTCATATTTCTTACGATACAAGCTGAGGTTATTAATTTGAGAGCATTCTATTCTTTTAAAATAGGCTTTTAGGTTGGGCGTAGTGGCTTATGCCTGTAATCCCAGCACTTTGGGAGGCCATGTCGGGCAGATCACGAGACCATCCTAGCCAGCATGGTGAAACCCTATCGCTACTGAAAATACAAAGATTAGCTGGACATGGTGGCATACGCCTGTAGTCCCAGCTACTCGGGAGGCTGAGGAAGGAAAATCGCTTGAACCTGGGAAGTGGAGGTTGCAGTGAGCCAAGATCACGCCACTGCACTCCAGCCTGGCAACAGAGACTTTGTCTCAAAAATAAAAATAAATAGGCGTTTAGTGCTCTCAATTCTCATCTGAGTATTGCTTTTGCTTGATCCCAAAAACCTTGATGTTTCATATCAATTGTTTGGGAGATGGGGAAAAAAAAAGACAAATTTTGATGTTATGTTTTTATTTCTACTCAGTTATAATTTTCTATTTTCCTGTTGGTTGCTTCTTTAACCCATGGATTATTTAGAAGTGTGTTTTTGGTATCTAAATAGTTTCAAAGTTTTCTAGATACCTTTCTGTTACTTTTCAATTTAATGTCATTGTTAGACCATATTTAATGTAATCAATATGGTTGCATTGAAATCTATGTTATTGATTTATCTTTTTTTGGGGGGAGGTTTGGGAACAGAGCATCTCGCTTAGTTGCCCAGGCTGGGTGCAGTGTTGCTACCATAGCTCACTGCAGCCTTGAACTCCTGGCCTCAAACAACCCTTTCACCTTAGCCTTCTAACGTGGTAGAATTACATGAATGAGTCACCAAGCTTGGCCTTGATTTACCTTTCTTTTCATCCTACTTTTTTTCTGTTCTTGTTTCCTTCCTTTCCTACTTTCTTGGATTGTGTATTTTGTTGTTGTTGAGGCTGAGTCTCACTCTGTTGCGCATGCTGCTGTGCAGTGGTATGATCTCAGCTTACTGCAGCCTTCACCTCCTGGCCTCAAGTGATCCTCCCACCTCAGCCTTCCAAGTAGCTGGGACTATAGGCATGTGCCACCATGCTTGGCTAATTTTTATATTTATTTTGAAATTACAGGGGTTTTAAATAGGGTTTCTCTCTGTTGCCCAGGCTGGTCTCTTAATTATCAGTATTGGCATATTATTATTATTTTTTTCATAGTTACTTTAGGGTTTGTAATATACATCTTTAACTTATCACTGATTTATGTTTAGAAAAGCTAATGGAAACCCTTGTGATCAAGAGAATGGAACACTAGTGCTTATTGTAATTCTCTTTAGTCCTCTTTGTTGTTCCTCAAATGCCTCAAGCATACCTCTGCTTCTTGGCCTTTGTACTTACTGTTCCCTTTCCCTGGAACATTCTTTTGCTAGAGAATAACATGATGTTTTCCTTTGCCTTCTTTCTTTGTTAATTTAAATGTTACCTGATCAGAGAAGTCTTTCCACATCATACTACTTAAAATATCCATTTGTTGTTCTTCATACCTTTACTTTTATTTTGATTTTTTTTTTTTATGACAATTGACCATTGCTGGAGTAAACATTGTCTGGATTCCCTGCTTTGTTCTGTTTACCTTTGCATTTCTCCCTCCTCCAACAATGCCTAGTAGTCAATGATTGATCAACAAATTTGATTGATTGATTGATTGAATAAATATTGAATGTGTGATAGTCATTTGTGTATATGTTGTACAGTCTCCTTAGAAAAGGTATCTAATTTCTGATTACGGAAAACACACCATTAACTTGCCTTTCAATATGAAATTAAAATTTGCTACTCAAAACCCCCTCTTAGATTTTTGTATTTAACCATAGAATACTACCACAAACTTAGCACCTACTATATATTTGCCCTTTTAAATGCTTTCTGTTAGGCTTTTTTACTACTTATATGTGAATGGAAATATCCTGGACCACTATGTAAATTTCACTGTCATTCAGAAACAAAACTGTAGGATTAAAGACTAAGTAATTAATTTGAATTATTCTAGTTCCAAAAATTAAGACATGATCTTGAAATGGTACAATCCACTATGGAGTCAAAGAATGAAAAGTTAAAGGAAGACTTAGAAAGGTATGTTTGTATTATAATTACTATTAATCATTCACATATGTTGAAGTGGCATTTAAAGTTTTATTTGGATATTGCTTGTTTTGTTTTTTCCACGTCGGAAGGGAACAACGGTGGTTGGATGAACAGCAGCAGATAATGGAATCTCTTAATGTACTACACAATGAATTGAAAAATAAAGTTGAAACATTTTCTGAATCAAGGTATTAATTTTATGTTCTAGGTTTCTAAAATAGGAAAAGTTTTTATTTTTTGTGTTACATGAAATACAGATGAATGTAAAGTTTACCAGGAATCAGGAGTCTTGCCCTAACTTTTGTTAACTATTAGCTATATGATCTTTTATGAATGACCTGACTGTACCTTTGGTTTCTCTACTTGTTATATAGGCAGTATTATTTTCAAAAAGCTAGTTATTTGGTTTGAGCAAATGAAATTTTAACAGTTTTTGATCAACTTTGTGAATAACTGGTTACATGTGCATATGTGTTTTATCAGTCAAATGTTTCTCTTAATTTTTTAAATTTATTAGAGTCTTTAATGAGCTGAAAACTAAACTGCTTAATGTAAAAGAATATAAGGAGAAACTCTTGATTACCTTGGGTGAGTTTCTAGAAGACCATTTTCCTCTGCCTGATGGAAGTGTTAAAAAGAAAAAGGTAAGTTTTAGAGAAGACATTTATGTAGATAATAATTAAAATTATTTTAGGTAGGTTTGAAAGCAAATATTTAGTTTAAAGGTATACACATGTATGGAAATATGTCATTATCACATTATATTTACTGAAAGACTAGAAGCAACCTAATTATTCAATAAAATGGGATTAAGTGTATGCATATTTTTTGTGGGATGGGGGACAGAGTCTCACTCTGTCACCCAGGCTGGAGTTCAATGGCATGATCTCAACTCACTGCAACCTCTGCCTCCTTGGTTCAAGTGATTCTCATGCCTCAGTCTTTCTAGTAGCTGGGACTACAGGTGTGCACCACCACACCCAGCTAATTTTTTTTGTATTTTTAGTAGAGAAGTAATTTCATCAAGTTGCCTAGGCTGATCTTGAACTCCTGAGCTCAGGCAGTCTGCCTGCCTCGGCCTCCCAAGTGGGATGATTAGGCACTAGGATTATAGGCGTGAGCCACCATACGCAGCCAGAGTATATATTTTTTATATTAAATACCATATGTTGGGACTAAGTCAACTTTTAATACAATGTAATCAAAGAAGTTAAAGAAATACAACTTATTGCTGAATGAATAAAACACTGATGATTAAATTGTTTGAATCTAATTTATGTTAAAAAATTGACAGTGCTTATGTCAGAGCTAGGATTGTAGGTGTTGTTTTTTTTTTTTTTTCTTTTTGCTTTTTTCAATTTTCTGCGATGAATATGTGCAACTTTTAAAATCAAAAGAATGATGTTTAAAATTTGTAATAGATTAATGTCAGTTACTATTTGAATACTAGCTATAATGAAATAAACCTTTTCTGAAAAAGCAAATATTTTATTGCGTGACAAGATTGTGAACAATTCTTTAATATATATGATATTAATAAATAAGACTTTTGAAATTGGAGTAATCATTGAATAATAGTATGTTTAATCATTTTCAGTATAACATCTTTCATGGCTCCCTAGGGAATGGAGTCTGTAAACTCCTTAGAAATCTCTTCATTAGGATTTATACTATAGACTTCTATCTCTTCATCCTCATCTCCAAGCATTCATCCATCTCTTACATGAATCCATTCAGCTTTGTCTCCAACCTCTCACTTTTTTGTGCCTTATACATTCTATTTTTCCTGCCTAGAAAACCCATCTGATCTGGTGAGGATAGCAGATTCCTACTTAAAATAGTTCAAACATCTTTTGAGTGAAACATTCTGAAATTTAGGTGTTCTTTTACTAATTTTTTTTTTTTTTTTTGACAGAGTTTTGCTCTTGTCACCCAAGCTGGAGTGCAATGGCACGATCTTGGCTTACTGGTACAACCTCTGTCTCAGGTTCAAGCAATTCTTCTGCCTTAGCCTCCCAAATAGCAGAGATTATAGGCGTGCGCTGCCACACCCGGCTAATCTTTTGTGTTTTTAGTAGAAATGGAATTTCACCATGTTAGCCAGGATGGTCTCAAACTCCTGACCTCATGTGATCCACCCACCTCAGCCTCCCAAAGTGCTGGTATTACAGGTGTGAGCCACCGCACCCGGCCCAATTTATTTTTAATTTATTTTTATTTTTTGGGACCGAGTCTTGCTCTGTCACCCAGAATAGAGTGCAGTGGCATGATCTCTGCTCACTGTAACCTCTGCCTCCCGGGTTCAAGCAATTCTCCTGTCTCAGCCTCTCAAGTAGCTGGGACTACAAGTGCATGCCACTATGCCCAGCTAACTTTTTGTATTTTTAGTAAAGACAGGGTTTCACCATGTTGGCCAGACTGGTATCTCAGGTGATCTGCCCACCTCAGCCTTCCAAAGTGCTGGGATTACAGGTGTGAACCACCTCATCCCGCCTATTGATTTATGTTTTAGAGACAAGGTCTTGCTATGTTGCCCAGGTTAGACTTGAACTCCTGGGCTGAAGCTATCCTCCTGCCTCAGCCTCCACACAGCTGGGACTACAGATGTGAGCCCCTGAACCTGGCTCTAGGTGTCCTTTTATTAACACTTATCAAATGATTTTGTTAGTGTTGTTTATATCTGTCTCTCCCTTCACCCCCGTGCCCTGTGAGCCACTCGATGTGTTTAATTCTTCTTTTTATCTCTTCTATCTTGCATATATTTTATATAGAACCTTCTCAGTTCATATTTATTGAATGGATATAAATATACTAGGAAAAAGAAAAAGTTCTGCTTGTTTTTGTTTTTACTTTCTGTGTTCTTTTTATTCTTCCCTTTCTTATCTGTGATTGTCTGTAGGCTTTACATTTGTTATGGAGTGTGTCTCCCATTCTATTATTGTTTTTTGCCTCTTATTTATTTGCAAAAGTATGACAGCCTTCTATTGACCATTTCATTAAAGTCATGATTCCTTGCCTCTTAAAGATCTTAATCTTGCAACAACTCACTGATGTATTTTCTGATTCCAGTCTCCTTCATTGTGTTCAACTTTTTTTTTTTTTTAATATACCTATTAAGCCCCACTAATAGAACCAGAGGTTTGAGGCATCTTGAAAAGGAAGCGTTGATTACCATGAGCCACTATGGGGTCACAAAGTTAGATTTGATAACTTCACTTCTCTTTTTATGATGTATAAGAACTACTGATATATGTTACAAAGTGATTCTTGTCTCTCTCTGTTTTTCTCTGTGTGTTTCTTTCTCTCTCTCTCCCCCCAACAATACTGTATGTATTAGTCTGCTTGGGTTTCCATAACAAAATACCACAGACTGGGTGGCTTAAACAAAAGTTTCACAATGTAGAAGCTAGAACTCCAAGACGAAGGGAAGGTACTGTCAGGGTTGGTTTCTGGTGAGGTCTCTCTTCCTGGCTTGTAGGTGACCACTTGCTTATTGTGTTCACACATTGGGCTCTTTGTGTACACAGGAAAGAGAGAATTCTCAAGTGTCTCTTCCTCTTTTTATGAGGAAACCATTCACATTGGATTAGGGTCCCATTCTTATGACCTCATTTATCCTTAACTACCTTATTTAAGACTTTATTTTTAAAAACATAGCTACATTAGGGCTTCAGCATATGAATTTTGGGGAGATATCTTTTACTTCACAACACTGGACTTTATAACTCAGATGTATGCAAAGAAGAAAGCTAAAAACAAAACTCCTTCCATCAGGTCATTACCATTAGGTGAACCTCACAATTAATATTAGGTGAGTGTCATTTGAGACATCTTGCTAAGCACATATACATATAGAACCATAAATGGATGGGTTGATGGATGCCTAGATCAATGTAATTTTGTAAGTGTATAATAGTAAATGTAATTTTACTTAATGTTTTGTTTTGTTTTGTTTTGTTGTTTTTGAGACTGAGTCTTGCTCTGTCACCCAGACTGGAGTACAGTGGCCGTGATCTCCATTCACTGCAACCTCTACTTCCTGGGTTCAAGCGATTATCCTGCCTCAGTCTCTTGGGATTACAGTTGCACACTGCCACGCCTGGCTACTTTTTGTATTTTGTTAATTTTTATTTAGTAGAGATGGGGTTTTACTATGTTGCCCAGGCTGGTCTTGATCTCCTGACCTCAGGTGATCCACCCACCTTGGCCTCCCAAAGTGCTGGGATTACAAGTTTGAGCCACTGTGCCCAGCCTAATTTTACTTAAATTTGAGAGAATAAAAATAATGAGTGAAGTTGAACAGCTGAACTCAGATAAATATTTCTTTGCATCATTTTGGTTCTGGAGAGATCCTTTCAATATAAAGGAAATAGGAAGGAAAGGAATATAATATAAAGGAAACAAGTAAATCATGAAAAACATGGAAAATTGTAGAGTTTGCTTAACTTCATATCAATTCTAGGCAGTTATTAGTCGACTGCTGTGTAAGATAAGAAAATTAACGCTGTTTTTCCTGTACCTTTATTTCTATTTCATGTTCTTTTTACTTTGGCAGGTTTATAGCATTTATATTTTATTCAGAAAACACCATTTATATTTAGCCATATTTAGCCTTCATTCTACATTGTATTAGAGTCAATGCTCATTATCTTTTACCATACATTTTTTAGTTCTTAAGTTTAATCCATCACTTGGTTTGGTGGATTTCTTTCACAAGTAATTTGTTCAAGAATTCTTGGGTGTTTTAGTCTTTGGATTCTTGGATGGTGTAAATACTTTGTCTTTATACCAGAAGGATATCTTAAGCATATTTTTTTAAATCTCAGGTTTTTTTAGGCATTGCTCCCTGTCTTCTAAAATGGAATGTGGTATAGAGAAATCTTAGGCCAGCCTATAGATGACTTGTTGATTCTGACCATGTATCTGGAGAGTTCTTTAGCTTTGAACTAAATAACTTAACAATATGGATTATTCAATATCAGTTTTCGTTTGAAAAAGATATGTTCTTTTTCTGGGCAATTTAGTTCACATTTCATTTCATAGAAATTTTCTTTTATATGTTTTTTCTGCATTTCCTTTGATTGTCTCAAGTCCTTATGATTTAATCTGCATCTTGTTTCTCATTTATTAATCAGTTCTGTAATTGTACTGTCTTCACCACTAATCATATGCTCATTTATACCACTCTTTTCTTTACTAAAGTATTAGGAGAGTTTGAGATCCTCTCTGCTGTCTTTATTCAGGAATTATATTTATTTTTGTTAGTGTTATTTTACTATTTCCTTAAATATATTTGTATTTCTGCAAGGCTTTATAAGAATTCCATGGTAATCTCTGACTGGTATTAGGAAAGTAATAGATGTCACTGTAGTAAACAACTTTATAATTAATTGAATGCCTGAATTCAAAACTTTCTGATTAGGATTAGTATTATCTTGGAACTTTCTAGCAGTTTGCTTTAGAGTCTGTCCTATTAAACATTTTTAACAATAACTTAGGTAAAGAGTAGAATATGTGGCTATCAAAGTTTACAAATGATGTGAAAGTAAAGAGAGCTAGATAGTAAATATGTTGGATGACAGAATAAAGACTATATTTCTTAGCTAGTTAGGAACTAAGACAAATAGGATGATTTTAAGTAGAAATACATAGAATATTTATGTTTAAAACATAACAATACGAAAGACATTTTTAGCTAGATATATGAAAAACACTTTGGTATTTTAGACGATAGTATTCTTAGAAGTCCACTTCTAAAATAGCTGTCTGAAAGATAATAGGGAAAAATAGCTGTCTGAAAGATAATACCATCTTAAATTTAATGAATAGAAGTCTGGTCTCCGTAACTATGAAAGTGGGTGTTCTTTTTTTCTTGGTAATCAAATCGCACCTACGTCATTGTGGGAGACAGGTTGAAGGAAAACAAAAGACAAATTAGAGCACATTCAGAGAATAAACATGGTATTTATAAGCCTCAAATTTATGCCATATGAATAATAATTGAGGTAGGGCATGGTGGCTCACACCTGTAATCCCAACACTTTAGGAAACTGAGGTGGGAGGATCACTTGAAGCCAAAAATTTGAGACCAGCTTGGACAACATAGTAGTCCCAGTTACTCAGGAGCCTGAGGTGGGAAGATAGCTTGAGCCCAGAAACTGAAGGCTGCAATGAGTTATGATGGCACCACTGCACTCCAGCCTGGGTGACACAGTGAGACCCTGTCTCTAAAAAAAAGAAAAAGAAAAAAAATTGAAGAAACAAATGGTTATTAATGTGAAGAAGAGAAGACTTGGGCCTTATAATAGTGGTCTTTAAATATTTGAGGAACTCTTGGGTGGAATTGGAATGAGATTTATCCTCTGTCATTCCAAGGAAGAAACAACTAATGAGTTAACATGACAAACTGTCAAGAGCTATATAGAAAGATCATTAAGTCTCACAATGTCATTTGGGGAATTTTTGTTGAGGGATATAAATATTAAACTTTCTTTTATATGAATATATATACTGTGTATATCTATTATATGTTTATGGATAGTTTTGTCTCTTCCAGTAACTAGAAAAGTTTTCACTGTCTTAGAAGATAGTTCAACTGCATTTTTATGAATCTGACCTAAATACAATGTTACTTACTTTCAGAATTTTTTTGTCACTTAATTATGAATATCTGATTTTAGTTACTTTGTACCATTACTACTAAGAAATACTAATTTTTAAAGTCTTGGCCGGGTGCGGTGGCTCATGCCTATAATCCCAGCGCTTTGGGAGGCTGATGCGGGCAGATCACCTGAGATCAGGAGTTCAAGACCAACCTGGCCAACATGGTGAAACCCCGTCTTTCCTGAAAATACAAAAATTATCCAGGCATGGTGGCAGGCACCTGTAATCCTAGCCATTCGGGAGGCTGAGGCAGGAGAATTGCTTGCACTCTGGAGGTGCAGGTTGTGGTGACCTGAGATCACATCATTGCACTCCAGCCTGGGCTCCAAGAATGAAACTGTCTCAAAAATAAAATAAAAGTCTTGTAAATACAGTCTAATATTTCACCATAGGCAGAACTGAAGTGGTAACTATTTGTTATTCACATTTCTCTCAAAGAAAAACATTCAAGAATCAACTGTACAGCTGATAACACTGCATGAAATGTTAGAGGTAAGTGTCTTGTGTAGTTTGTTTTGTCTTGAAGCTGTCTCTTGCTTTGTCTTGAAGCTGTCTCTTAGTCATTTATGAACAATTATACTCAGAATTGAGAAACAAAAAATACTGCTTTAGTTCTTAAGTATTCATCAATCTTTATTAAATATATTTATTGTAATGTATCTTGGTATAAAATTAGTTTCTGTCCATTGTATAATACTGAGAGGAATATTGTCATTTTTTTCAAAATAATCAGAATTTAAAGTCTGTCTCTTAATCATATTCCCAGGGTTTATTACAGGTAAAATGTTTGTCTAGGTATGAGCTGACAGGGTGAAGAAAGCTTTTTTAATGATGTTATCTAATATTTACATAGTGAAATCCTATACTGTTACATCGACTCTTCAATTGGTAGCTCTGTGCTCTATATAAAATACCTAATAAACGTAAAGATTCCATCCACAAAATTGTAGAAATTTTACAGTTTTTCTTAAATAACATCAGTCTCTTTTCTCATAATGCAAATACTGAGTTTTCCAACTTTCTCTGATTTGACATGTACCTTGTTTTATAAACATCTTTGACCTTTTCAAAAATGTTTTTGAACCTCAACCATATATTATCAATTATATTAAATACTTTGGAAGATCTTGATATGACAATTCATGACAAATTGGGCAGAGAGGAAAATGGTGTATGAAGAACAGGATATTTACCAATTAGTGTACCCCTTTTTAAGGTCATTGGTAAATTTTGAAGAAAGAGCGATTTCAGAAAACGTGTTTCCTTTAACTTAAGGAACTAGGTGTTAAAATCTCTTTTTGGCCAGCTGACTAGTTTTGGTTCCTCAGGATTTAATACAGAATATTATTGCTTTGAAAAGAAAATACAAATATTTATTAGATTCATAATTAGAATCTTTTAACATATTTCTAGCTAGTCTAGTTTATACTGAAGCTAAGATGACTATTGTTTCTCATGGATTACTTAACCTTTTTTTTTTTTAGTAAAAATTGTCAGTCATGGAAATACTGAAAGGTTATTACATGTGTAATTTTTGAGTAGGGTACCTAGTATGTACCACATGTGTTAGGCCATTCTCATGTTGCCGTAAAGAAATACCTGAGACTGTATAATTTGTAAAGAAAAGAACCTTAATTGGCTCATGGTTTGCAGGCTGTACAAACATGACACTGGATCTGCTCAGCTTCTAGGGAGGTCTAAGGGAGCCTTTACTCATGGCAGAAGGTGAAGCAGGAGCAGCCAGTTTACATGGCCAGAGTGGGAGCAAGAGGGAGGTGGAAAGGTACCACACACTCTTAAACAACCAGATCTTGTGAGAACTCATTATCATGAGAACAGTACCAAGGACATATGCCAAAGCATTCATGAGAAATTCATCCTTATGATCCAGTTACCTCCCACCAGGCCCCACCTCCAACATTGGGGATTACATTTCAATATGAGATTTGGCAGGGGACACACCTAAACTATATCAGCATATAAAACTTGGCATTAGAATCCTAAGTTTGTCTTAAAGGCAGATATTGTCAGCAATAAAGGAACTAATATTAAAACTGCAGTTAGGTTAAAAATAAAACAATATAATTAGAAATGCAAAATAGGAAAGATTTGTACTAAAATAAGTATGAAAATAATCCATTGTTTTAAAATACAAATAATATTTAATTATTTATCATGATACTCAAATGAGGCCAAAGCTGTTTTTCCCACAGGATGTGGGACTTGAAATAATTAATGATAGTTGAAAATTTTATTTCAAGAAATGAGATATTGATACTAAATATAATCAAGATTAGAGCTTGATGGATTAATTTTATCTCTATGGCACTTTGTAATTGTATAAATTATGCATATTCTTTTCCATGTTCCTTAAAATAATAGCATCTTTCAGTTAAAAATTTGGCCTGACAATTCAGAGATACAGAGCCTAATCCAATATCCACCACTGCTTATGGGCCCCTGAGGAATCTCTTAACTCTTCTGAGTCCTAGTTTTGTAATTTGTGAAGACACTGTAAGATAACAAAGAAGGCAAAATAATAAGTGATCTACATTTACCATTTTTCACTGTTTCATAACATTGTATTCAAACAATTGTAAATATTTGTTTCTTGAAAAAATTTTTGTAATGGCATTGTATTTGGGAAAGACAGCTGATTCTCGATTCACATTAGCAAGCTTTCCCAGGCTTGTTGGATCACAGAATCCTGTTTTTCAGGAAGTAAGAACATCTTTAGGGAGCCTAATTCTATGGAAAGCAGTTTGGAAAATGCTAGCCTATAGAATTTAATGCAAATACTCAAAAAACTTCTCAATTTGTGATTGTAATTCCACTGTATCCTTAATGAAGAAATCAGGGATACTCAGGATGAAGTTGAAGGAAGTGATGATAAAATTGACCCTTTTGAAGATTTGTCAGAAGAATAGATGTTTTGTGGGGGCTAGGACTAGTGATTTTTCCTTCAAGTAAAAAGACACATTTGCTCCCTTTCTTTTTAACTTTTTGTGTATTTTGTTAAATATTAATTTTTTAAGATTTTTTGTCTTTATCCTAAAAAAGATACTAATCCCAAGAGAAGTGGGAGAATTGTAAATTCTTTCTAACCAATTTTTAGGAAATGTTTTCAAATTTTAAGATGCAAAAATTCACATTCAAGCTTTTTTCATTCTCTAATATCCAAAGTTCTTTAAAAAAAGGAAATTCAAATTTGTAGATTAAAAGTATTATATAAACTGTTGTTGAAAGAGAAAAGAGGTCAGTATTCTTTGACAAAAAACTTATTACAGCTAAATTGACTTTTTCCCAAGTAAAGTAAACTTTGAATGATATTTTCTCCTAGATTCTTATAAATAGATTATTTGATGTTCCACATGATCCATATGTCAAAATTACTGATTCCTTTTGGCCACCTTATGTTGAGCTGCTTCTGCGTAATGGAATTGCCTTGAGACATCCAGAAGATCCAACCCGAATAAGATTAGAAGCTTTCCATCAGTAAAGGGATGTTTTCTTTTTTCACACAGTAAAAAATCTTAACATTCAAGTATATTGGAACCACAGGACTATTTGGATAAAAAACATTATTTGCAAATTAATTCACATAGTCCATCTTCCTTTTATTGTTAAGTGACATACGCTGCCATCTGTTATTCACTTTTACATTGTCCTTTCTTATTCAGTCAGTGCTTTGGTGTTTTAAATTATATGGATAAGAATGCAGGTAGATATTGTTCTAGACATAAAACATTTAATATACTTTATGCAATATTCTTTAGAAAATTATTTGTTAATTTATAATATTGCCAATATTTTCTTAAGAAGTATAACAATACCTTTTATGCATTTTAAGTTCCAATTGGTGCTTCTTTATATTTAGAAATTATAATGGGAAGGTCATTTAATTTGCAGATGTTTTTTTTTTTTTTTTTGAGACGGAGTTTCACTCTTGTTACCCAGGCTGGAGTGCAATGGCGCGATCTCGGCTCATCGCAACCTCCTCCTCCCGGGTGCAGGCAATTCTCCTGCCTCAGCATCCCGAGTAGCTGGGATTACAGGCACGTGCCACCATGCCCAGCTAATGTTTTGTATTTTTAGTAGAGACGGGGTTTCACCATGTTGACCAGGATGGTCTCGATCTCTTGACCTCGTGATCCACCCACCTCGGCCTCCCAAAGGGCTGGGATTACAGGCTTGAGCCACCGCGCCTGGCAGGTTGCAGATGGTTTTTAAATTGAGGTAATATCTGATGTAGAATGTGGCATAATTTAAAACTACTTAGCAAATTTGTTTCATATGTACTGCCTTATTTCTAGATTTGTTTAAAATTGAAATATGAAAAATAATAGATAAAGCCAACATAAAATTGATATTTTAGTTTGTATTACTAATATACCATGTGACCTTAATGTTAGTCAACTCTGATTCTGCTATTACCAACAAAATTGTATTCATGACATTTTATTAATCCTCTGTGAATTTTCTGTAAATAAAATTATTTATAAAAATCTCTAGCTATTGGTGATGTGGCATATTTTTATAATTAGAAAATGTTTTTTAAAGTAGATAAGATATAGGACTCATTTAGTATTACATAAAAGCTAAACTAGAGAATCTAATCCATTTAGTATCATTAGTTTTCTAAGAGAAATTTCTGTTTACTTTTTTACTTGAAAGTGCTTTCTGCTGTATATTATCCAGGTTTCTTGCTTATCTTAATTACTTCATGTTTTCTAAAGTAAACAAATAATATTCCAATTATACCAAATCCCTCTGTAGAAAATGCAAGTACTATTATATTTTAGGGAATGTAACTCTTTTAGGGAAAGATGATACATAAAGTACCTCCTAGAATACTCCAGTTGAATATTGAAGAGGGAGCAACTTTTTACTCTTTGAAGTTGCTGGAAAGGGAAGAAATGGCAGTGTAGGTCTGACAAGAATTCTTCAGCGAAGATGGCACCGTTGTTTATGGAGCCCTAGCAAAATGCCTTTGGTGTTTGCTAATGAAAACGTTAAAAATATGTAATCTGGGTTGTGCATGCCTGTAATCCCAGCTACTTCGAGGCTGAGGCAGGAGAATCACTTGAACCTGGGAGGAAGAGGTTGCAGTGAGCCGAGATCTCACCACTGCACACCAGCTTGGGTGATGAGCAAAACTCCGTCTCAAAAGAAAAAAAAAATGTAATCCTTATGCTTGCAATGCCTATCAATAGACTGTATTTTTCTAAAAGTTTTTATGGGTATGTCAATATGCTACCAGTTGCTAAATGTAGTGTACCAAATACTTTATTGCATTTTACGACATGTTGACTCAAAAATTAATGGAAAGTTGCATGCTAATAGCTTACTTTTAATATTCTTAATACTTTCCCTAGTTTATTGTTTATCCTCCAACTTTGTTTTGATGGAATCTTGCTTTTTTTAGCATGTAGAGATGAAAAGTTTTTAACAGTTTTGATTATACAAAAAATTAATGCAGATAATAGAGATAAAACTGAAATTTCCTTTGATATTTCCTATCTAGGTCCTCCCTGCCTGGGATAACCACTGTTTGATACATGGTATTATTTTTCACGTTACATTATCATTCTCTTCTGCCATTTGTGTCCAGAAGTTCATTGGTTTTAATGAATCTTGTTTTGTAATAATCAGAGAGCCAATTCACATGATGGTGAATTGTTATGTATCTGTTTAATCCTGGTAAGAGAGCAGAGACAATGGAATTGTACAAGATGCTGGATTAAATTTAGAGAAGGCAGAAAAGTGGAAGACATAAAGAACAAAAGAAAAGTAATTAATAGAAAACATTAACAAATATAGTCATTTATATCAATTAGTTTAAATATGAGTTGCCTAAATACACAGATACTGTCACAGTGGATTAAAAGGCAAGACTAAAAAGAAAACCACTTTAAAGATGGAGAAAGATTAAAAGTAAAGAGATAGAGAAAGATACATCATGTGTTATGGACTGAATGTTCATGTTCCCCCTTGCTCCTCAAATTTATGTGTTGGAAACCCTAACTCCTAGTGTGATAGTATTTGGAGATAGGGATCTTGGAAGATAATTAAGGTTAGATGGCACCATGACTAAGATAAGGTTAGTATCCTTATAAGAAGGGACGTAGAAAGCTTGCTGTCTTTGCCATGTGAGAATACAACTAGAAGGTAGCTGTCTGCAAATGAGAGAGACTTCCCCAGAAATTGATTATGCTGACACCCTGATCACAGACTTTCAGTCTTCAGAAATTTGAGTAAATGAAAATTTCTGTTGTTTAAGACACCCAGTATATGGTATTTTGTTATGGTAGCCTAGATTAAACTATCCTATCAAACTACATTAATCAAAAGAAAGCTGGAATAGCTATATTAATTTCATATAAAACTGACTTCAGAACAAGGAAAATGATGAAGGATTATGAGAGACATCATATGGTGATAAAGGGGTAATTAACATTTAAAAAAAACCATAGAAAGTATGTCTTTACAAGGGATTTAAACTAGAAATAAATAATAAAAATACCTGGAAAATCCCAAAATATTTTGAGATTAAGGAACATGCTTCTAAACACATGGGTCAAAGAAGTGTCAAGAGACTAAATAAATGAAAATACAAGTTTGATAAATTTGTGAGATGCAGCAAAAGCAGTGGCTAGAGGGAAATTTATAGTATTGAATGCATATATTGGAAAACGTGAAGGATCTAAAATCAATATGCATCTACCTTAGGAAATTAGAAGAGCAAATTAAATCCAAAGTAAGCAGAAGAAATAATAGAGTAGAAATCAATAAAATTCAACCAAGAACAATAAATTCAATGAAATGAATGAAATTCAATGAAAAGTTAAAATTTATAAAACTTTGTCATACCAAAAGAAAAAGCAAAAATTACTGAAATCAGAAATGAAAAGAGGTGCCTTTATTACTGTTCTCATGAACATTAGGACTTTAGAAGGATAATAAAGGGATGTTATGAGCAACTCTGTGTGTGCAAATTTGATAACATGAAATGGACCAATTCTGTGAAACCTCACACAAGGAGAAATAATGGCTTTGCATAAACTTACAAAATAAATTCAGTCAATTATGTGCTTCCAAAGCAAAGCATTGGTCTCAGATGGTTTCGCTAGTGAAGTCTACCATTCAAGGAGAAAGTGATGCCAATTTTGTGCAATCTGTTCTAGAAAATAGAAGCAGAGGAAATGCTTTAACACATTCTGTGAGGCCACATAACGCTGATAACAAAATTAGGTAAAAATATTACAAGAAAGGGCAACCACAGACCACTATCTCTCATGAACATAGCTATAAAAATTCTCAACAGAATATTAGCAAATCTAATGCAACAATATATAACAAAATATACCAGAGTCAAGCGGGATTTATTTCAGGTATGCAAGGCTGGTTCAACATTGAAATCAGTTCATATAATTTATTACATTATCACACTAAAGGAGAAAAGTCATATGATTTTATCAATAGATACAGATAAACCATTTGACAAAACCAACACCTATTTATGATAAAGACAGACAAAATTATCAACCAGCTATGAATATAAGGAAATCCTCAACTTCATAAAGAATATCTACAAAAAAACCTACAGCTGGTGTTGCTGCCTGAGAGCCGGAGACAGTCCTGCAGCTGCTGCAGCACTGCTAGCCACCTGACAGTGTCCCACCTAGTCGAGCCACCGCTGCCCCTGCACAACAACTGCGAGGAAAGTGACCAGTCTCTGCCCCCGCCTGCTGGCCTCAGCAGTTCCTGGGTGGAGCTACCCATGAATAGCAGTAATGGCAATGATAATGGCAATGGGAAAAATGGGGGCTAGAACACGTACCTTCCTCATCCTCCATTCACAATGGAGACATGGAGAAGATTCTTTTGGATGCACAACATGAATCAGGACAGAGCAGTTCAAGAGGCAGTTCTCACTGTGACAGCCCTTTGCCACAAGAAGATGGGCAGATCATGTTTGATGTGGAAATGCACACCAGCAGGGACCATAGCTTTCAGTCGGAAGAAGTTGTAGAAGGAGAGAAAGAAATTTGAGGCTTTGAAGAAAGGTGCAGATTGATTGTCAGACTGGTCCAGTAGACCCGAAAATGTTCCACCCAAGGAGTTCCACTTCAGACACCCTAAACATTCTGTGTCTCTAAGCCTGAGGAAAAGTGAAGCCATGAAGAAAGGGGGTATCTTCTCCACAGAATTTCTAAAGGTGTTCATTCATTCCATCTCTCTTCCTTTCTCATGTTTTGGCTTTGGGGCTAGGCATCTATATTGGAAAGCGACTGAGCACACCCTCTGCCAGCACCTACTGAGGGAAAGGAAAAGCCCCTGGAAATATGTGTGACCTGTGAAGTGGTGTATTGTCACAGTAGCTTATTTGAACTTGAGACCATTGTAAGCATGACCCAGCCTACCACCCTGTTTTTACATATCCAATTCCAGTAACTCTCAAATCCAGTATTTTATTCAAACTCTGTTGAGGCATTTTACTAACCTTATACCCTTTTTGGCCTGTAGGACATTTTAGAATTTCCTAACAGTTTACTGTTGTTTAGAAATTTGCAAGGGCTTCTTTTCCACAAATGCCACCAGCAGATTATAATTTTGTCAACAATGCTGTTATCTCTAATTAGTACCACCAGACTAGACCTGTATCATTCATGGTATTAGTTTTACTCTTTCAACATAACTACCATTTATCTCTTAAACTGAGATCAGGTTAGCAAATGATGTCAAAGAAGCTTTATTTTCTAGTTGGTTTTTCCCTTAAGACAAAGACAAGCTTCCCTAAGCTTGAGTTGATAGTTACTAAAAAGAAAACAAACAAACAGAAAAGCAAGACACAAGAAAAAAAAATCCTGGGCAATAAAAAATCATTTTACACCAAAAAAAAAAAA